ATTACATCCTTCCCGTTGCTCAGGTTCAAGTTTCTGAAGCCTCCCTCACCACCCTTGACTTCACATCCTATACAAAAACTCCTGCCAGCTCTCCTTCCTTCCCCCCCTTTTAAAAAAATGTTTTTTATTAACTGTGTGTCTATATGCATCCATGTAAGCAAATGGCAAGTGTGAGGTACCCCCGGAAGCCAGAAGAGGGTGCTAGGTCCCTTGGACCGGACCCACTGATGCTCTTGGGTTCTTCGTTAGGACAGTGAGCACTCCTGACTGTTGTGTCCACTCCAACCAAACTCTCCTTCTAAAAGAAAACCAGAACTCAACTTCTATTTTAATGTAACGATTTTTACAAGAGTCCCACGCCAACTGTGTGCCTTCAGGTGTCAGACACTTGAGCTAAAAACAAAACTACCCCGAAGTCAAAACCAAAACCATACATATGCTAAAGTTAAGAGCTAAACTTTATTTCTTTTTCAGGTGCTGAGGTGAATTAAATTTGAAGAAGATAATATCTCCATCTTCAACAACGTAAGTTCTGCCTTGTTGTCTGTACTTCCCGGCAGCCATAGCTGCACTGTCAGAACTTTCCTCTTTAAGATCTTCGTCTTTCATTACTTCCGCCATAATGAATCCCTTTCCAAAATCTGTGTGAATCTTTCCTGCAGCCCGAGGAGCCTTCACGGCTTTCCTGATGGTCCATGCATGAACGTCACCTGGGCCTGCAGTGAGAAAGTATTCTAGTTGGCGTGCGGTCAACCCAGCCTTAGTGGTCTCCGGTAAAGCACTCAAGCTCATGTCCGGGTACTTCTGCTTCTCCTCAGCACTTTCAGTAACCCAGGGTAGTCTCAAACTCTCAATGCTACTGCCTCCGCTTCCCAGATGCTGAGACCACACAACCACCATGCCAGGTTAGCTGAATTTGGAGCAAGTGCACACTAACTGGCCCCAAATTCCTGGCACTGTCCCTCCATCACAAGCATGTTTGTTCCGGCAACACCCTAAATGCCACACACACTTGTTCAGGCACATTTCCCTGCCTAGGGCTCTTTTTCTTTTTGAGACAGGGTTTCTCTGTGTAACCGTCCTGGCTGTCCTGGAACTCGCTTTGTAGACCAGGCTGGCCTCGAACTCACTGAGATCACCTGCCTCTGCCTCCCAAGTGCTGGGATTAAAGGTGTGCCCCACCACCACCCAGCCCCTCCCTGCCTAGATTATTCCTGCAGATTGAAGTCAGACTCTTTTGACAATCCAGGGGGTTAGAGCAGACACACAGTTCACTCTGTTCTCTGCCTCCTGTGATGTCATGGGCTGCATCATTCACTCAAGCTCATATGGACCTGCCCTGCTTCCGAGTAGCTGCTGGGTCTCTCTTTAGAAGTCTGCTTACTTCAGTTGCTGACAGGCCTGTCACTAAATACTGAGCAGCCTAAGCACAGTAGCGGCTCACTAATGGGACACATTGTGACAGAATCGATCATGTTCTTCATGACTCTTTAGAAACTGGGTTCCACCCCTTACAGCCCTGCCCTCTGCAGACTGCTTTGCTCTGCTCTAGAATGACCGGCTTTCTTCACAGCACCCTTAAGGTGATGTAGTCAAATTTTTGTGGAAATCTGGGACTTTGCATGGGAAAGCCACTTTACCCTATAGGCTATCTTATTAAAGGGTTCTTAGTCACAGAGACCTGTTTGATTTCTGTCCTTCAAAGTCTGTGGGCATTAGCTTCCTCATATGTAAAATGCTAATTACTAATCTCACGGAGATGCTGAACCCTTGGAACAATGTCCAGCACACAGAGGTCTACAGTACTTGTCCGTTCCTTTTCAAGACGACTGTGAGAAGTCTAGCGCTCCCAGGGAGCAGCACATGAGTGGAAACAGCACACACTTTGCAACATATCATTTGCCAAAGGCCTCCAAAAACACAGATCTGAGCTAAAGGCCATGGAATCATGCAGAGAGAAGCGGCAGGCAATCTCCATCTGCAGCACAGCAGTGGTCTCAACAGCACGGGAACCGTGTGAGGGAGACAAAGCAGCCCCAACCCAGTGCACAGGTGAGTGAGCAATCCTGGGCAAACCAAAGTTAAACACAGGACAGGGGCAGGAGCTGGGGGTATAGCTCTGCAGTAAAATACTTGTCTAACATATGCAGGTCTCTGGGCACAATCCCTGGCGCTGACCTAAGTGTGTTATATATACGCGTGATCAGGTATAATATATTATCAACAACTCTTCAGCAGTAAACAGGATAGTCATGAACCAAACAGAACCCAGGGCACCAGGATTGGCTGGCCACTCGGCACCACAGCTTGCCCTCCCCCCACCCATGACAAGATAGGGCAGGGCAGACAGCTTTCAGAAGAATGGGCCTTTCATTTGCCCTCCAAGCTGGGAAACCTTTGGGAATTGTTGTTTGCTGTAATTCAACCTTTCAGGCCAAAGGTCTTGGGAGTTGGCTGTGGAAATATCTTTAGTTGGGAGAACATGGATGGTCATGAGAAAGAGAAAAAAAATCTACACAAAATAAACACAACAGTTGGTGGAAAAATTTATTTTTTTCTTTTGGAGACAGGTTTCATACTGTAGACTTGGCTGGTCTGGAAATCACTATATGGTGTAGGCTGGCCTTACACTCAGCTATCCTCCTGCCTCAGTCTCCTGAGTGCTGCAATTACAGGTGTGAGCCACCACACTTGACTGAGAAATGATTCTTAAAACTAAAAGGAAATGATGTTGTAATGCCTTCTGTATTTATTTTATTCTTTATTTTTTGTCTTTTTAGACAGGGTTTCTCTGTGTAACAGCCCTGATTGTCCTGGAACTCGCTCTGTAGACCAGACTGGCCTCAAACTCAAGAGATCCACCTGGCCCTGCCTCCCAAGTGCTGGGATTAAAGGTATGTGCCACCACACCTGGCTTCCTTCTGTGGCTCGTTAACTAGAAGGCTAATATATGTAGAAGAACACTGGTGGAGAATCAAGTCTATGACCAGGACAGAAAAGGAACAAGAAAGAGCTGGAGAGATGGCTTAATTCTCAGCACCCACATGATGGCTCACAACTAACCTCAACTCCAGTTCCAGCGAATCTGATGCCTTCTTCTGACCTGCAGGCGCCATTTGCACATGTGTATACATATATGTAGGGAAAACACTCATTCATACAAAATTACATATCTGAAAAAGTGGGGGAGAACAAAGAATTAAACCAACCACTCTCCTGTCATAAAACTTCTCAAGTTCTTGCCAGGTGGTGGTGGCGTAGGCCGTTACTCCCAGCACTTGGGAGACAGAGGCAGGTGAATCTCTGTGAGTTCAAGGTCAGCCTGGTCTACAAAGGACAGCCAACACTGTAGAGAGACCCTGTCTTGAAAAAATCAAAACCAAAAAAACTTGTCATGTTCTTAGGACAAGCATGGGGAGAAAAATCTTTCTCGAAAAAATACACCAGTGGCTGATGTCTAAAGAAAGGCACAATCACACAAATCAAATTAAGACTGGTTACCTGGCAGGGAAGGTAGTCCAGCAGGTGGGAGAGAGGCGGAGGTCTAAATGAAGACCAAACAGAAAGAAGACGGACAGAGGACAAGAATGGAAAGTCATGAAAAGAATGCCAACCTCAAACTGAAGAGAGGCCCAGGCAGCCCTATGCTAGCAAGGCAGGGAGCAAGGGGCCATTTAGCCTTCATTTGTGTGCTGTCTTGGTAGAAACTCCTCTTGCCCCCGACATAAATCAAATATTAAAACTGAATTTATCTTTAATTTTTAGTACATATAGCTCAGAAGAGAGCTTGGAAATATACATTCATTATTTCCTCTTGACCACTGTAGGGATGCTCGGGAACACTATGAAATGAGGTCTGGGCTTTGGTATTGGATCCCCTGTGGTTCTTATCCTGTAGATTGAACTCTAGGCTTGCTGACCATAAAGGCTCTCCTGAAAATATAAGCAGGGACCAGCCTTCAATTGGAATGTGCAGAACTGCTGGGCGGTGGTGGCGCACGCCTTTAATCCCAGCACTCGGGAGGCAGTGGCAGGCGGATTTCTGTGAGTTTGAGGCCAGCCTGGTCTAAAAAAAAAAAAGAATGTGCAGAACACAGCTCAGAATGTGTGATCAAACTACAGAGAAGGCACGGGAGTGAGAGCAGGGGTACAAACCACACAGCAGTGGCTCGCATCTGCTCAGAAGTCACCACGCTGAGTTTTACTGCAGAGATGAGGATTTCCCCGGAGTGCGGAAAGGAGTGGTAACTGGACAGTTTCACAGCCCAACAGTCAGCCAGAAAGACAGCTACCTCAGTAAAGCCTCATCTTTTCCGTAAAAACAGTCACTTTTTATTGGGTGTCAATTCTGAGGGTAGGAAATGAGTCAGCAAAGATGGAGTTCCCCACACAGGCGCTGGGGAGAGGCGATCATGGTTCAGAGTGCACCCTGGGCACTGTCCCCTCTTCAGTGGTTATATGGTTGCCGTTTAGGTTTGCGTTCTTCGTAGTTGGAAAGGATGTAGGCTGCCAGCACCAAGCCACCATAGCAGCATTTCCTTTCTTCTGACTCCTGCAAGTGTTGTAGTGACCTCTTTGGAATGCTCCACATGCCTTTAGGAGTGAAATCCCAAATCCATGGCTAGCACGGCAGCTGCTTCACTTTGACATCTAAAGGTTTTTTTCTTCTTCACTGGTAGGACTGGTGCCATCTTGGAGTCCACGTATTCGCCAAGCCTAGTAAACTTCATCTTGACCGGAGAGTCATTCTTTCTGAACTGTGCTTGCATAGCCAACTTGTCCCAGAGACAAGGCTTTATAGCAAGGACTCCAGCCAATCAACAACCAAAAGAGCAACAACACTAAAGGTAGCAGTTAGCAACAGTTACTAAAGCTAGGAGGTGACTAGGTGAGGGAGGCTGTATCGTAGGGAAGGAGGGCATCCACGGAAGACAGAGCATGGGAAGGCCTGCTGCAGTAACTGTGCCCTCAGCTGCTTCCTTCTCTCCCCACAGATGAACCCACCTGCAGCCTTCTTGCCAGGATCCACTTGGAACCTCCATAGTCTGCCATAAAGAGGCCTGACAAGAACATAGAACTGTTAAAAGGCACTGGCCAAGATGGTCCACCAGAACCTGCCAGAGTTCTGCAGCTTCCCATACACTCCAGTGCACAGCGTGCTGTGAAACAGTGACCAGACCCCGCTCATCTGAACACACCAGCTCACTGAGCGTGAATGGTGTACGTGTTTACAAAAGTGTATCTTATAGCCAGCTCCTACCTGGGCCAAAGGGGAGTAGATGACTCCCGCTCACCTCCTTCCTAAAGTAGCCTTTGTGACATGGTTTTCTTGTAGCAGATCTACCTTCCTAATTACGACTTCCTTAAGCTAATATGAAAACTAATTTGTGTTTCCTAAGCTCCTAGCAGCTGGGCCGAGAATGGTGGGGATGGCCTAGGCTTACACTGGCCTGCTTAGCTCGAAATTGCCCAAGGATTTAGAATGTGTCACAAGCAATCCACATGAGAGATAATCTGTATGTGACAGCTAAGACTTCTAACTGTCAGAGTTGACCTGTGCTAAGTAACATTACATGCATTAGGAATACATTAGAAAAATAAAATACTGCTGGGCAGTGGTGGCACACACCTTTAATCCCAGCAGTGGGGAGTCAGAGGCAGGTAGGTATCTGTGAGTTCAAGGTCAGCCTGGTCTATAGGAGCTAGTTCCAGGAGAGGCATCAAAGCTACGGAGAACTGGAGAGATGGCTCAGTGGTTAAGAGCATTGCCTGCTCTTCCAAAGGTCCTGAGTTCAATTCCCAGCAACCACATAGTGGCTCACAACCATCTGAAATGAGATCTGGGATTAAAGGTATGCACCACCACAGCCTGGCTTCCTTTTTCCTCTTTCACCAAGACTGCACTAGATACTCCAAGGACTCTAAAGCAACCAACACATTTCCAGTTCAGACCAGTGTCTCAGAGAATTCCTCCTGACAAGAGACATTCAGTCTGTGTGCTCGCTACCATATGGAGGGTGACTAAGGAATCACATTTTAAATCTTATTTCATTTTAATTAACCTAAATAGTTACAATATTAAAAACCTTTCTAGAGTTTCTAGTATGCCGATTCCACATCATAGATGTGTATCAGTCACAGACACACACACTCATACACAGAGACATACACCGTGGAAGAGCTGCCTTTGTTTAGATGGAAACTCAATCTGAAAATGGACACTTTGTATTACCCAGAAATATATTTCCTGGACATTTCCTTGTTTTATATCACAATTCTTTCTTTCCTTTTCTTCCCTACCTTATCAATTTAGGTTAACATTTTCTTGCTCCTTAGGCCTGTCCAGGAGAAACTACACCATCATTACAAGCACCTTAGGTGCACCTTATGTTAGTACTGAGCATCACGGAGAGGCCGGGGCGGGCAGAGTCAGAGGAGCCAATCTGATGGCACTGCCTTTGTTGTCCTTCTCAGAGTTGATGTCTCCGTTCCCATACTTAGATCCCTTCAGTGATTCTCAGATCCAATTGCTGGCTTTATAACAGCAAAGATTTTTTTAAAAATCAATTTCACTTTGAAAACCCCATTTAGGTTTTGAAAATCTCTAAATTGGAGCCCTTCTGACAATGAAGATTTGGTGTAATTATAATGTCACAGGCAATTGTGCTGACAAAGCAAAACCAGCATGTCTTCTTGCTGGGCCCTTGCTCTCAGTCTGACCAACAGGAGGAGAAAGGGGCTTTGTCAGGAGCAGATGTGCAGTGGGAGGCCCAGGAAAGCAGATCTATTGAATGAAGCAGGTGCCACTTAGACATTCATAGTCTCGACTCCAGCCACAGCCTTCCCTTCATTTGATACCCTACTCCTGGAGGAGACGGAGAGAGCGCCACACAAAAAGGAAGCATGCTTATCCTGCTCAGACTACTTCTCCCGCCAGACTGCTGCTGCTGGGCTCTGCACATTTGCTCTTTAGTAAGCAAATGGAATAGCTGGATGCAGGGAAGTGAATCCTGTATTTATACAGGTAACCTGAGAGTCAGAAGGCCCCAAAGCAACCACACTGTGCTGTGCAAGTTATTAGAGTTAATAACAGGTGTGCTGACATTCCTTCAAAGTTCTAACAGAAGCATAAACTAGAGGAAGGTCTTCTCTTTTACCCAAGAGCTTTGAGAACTTTATTCTCCAAAAGCTTGTCCTGTTTGATGTGGGTCCCTGTGTGAACAGTAGCTAAGGCCCCTTGTACACAATTTACTAAACCTGCGAGAATATGGAGAAAAACCAAATAACTACTTTCTAATCATGAATCGAACAGAAATGACTACAATTAAATTTGTTCAATTATGTATCTTAATTTGATATTAAAAAAGAAAAAAATCTCTTTGTAGAGTATTGACTTTTAAGTGTGTCAAGCTGGCTTGCTGGCATCTGCTAATACCCTTTGGAGTGCTAAGGAACCAAATGGAAGGCATCTAGATTTAAACATGAGAACAGCTAAGCACTACATTTGAAGGCCATAGCACAGATCAAATGAGCACTTAGAGTAGAGATGAAGGCACAACAGTCTAACATTTCACACAAAGGATCCCAACGCACACTAGCAGTCTACCATCTTAAGGTAGAGATGAGAATCAATTTCTCATTTTCTTTCTCTCCCTCTTTCCTTCCTCCATTCCCTATTCCCGAACTCTCTCTAGCAGGGTATTGCTGTGCATCCCAGAAAGGTCAGAACTTACTATATGGTCTATACTCAAACCTGCCTCAGCCTCCTCAGTGCAGGAATTACAGGTAGAACAACATGCCATACTAAACGATGTGCTAGCCCATAGGAAGGGACAGGAGATCTTGCAAAAGGCACTGTTACTTCTTTTGAAGGTGTCCACAGCACACTCTGTTTGCAGGGGCAGAGTGAATAGCTAGAGGCTAGGTCCCAGGGACAGGAAGGCCTGAGACCTCAGAAGAACACAAACTCAGCATGCCTGAGGGATATAATTCCATCAGAGGCTTCCTGAAGTAGGCTCTTGCCTCCCTTCCCCGTTCAAGTACTTCTCTAGTGACAATGGTAGTTACTTCCACAGTGGTAACTGAGGGCAGATATTATGCACATAGACATCCCAGGCACTAAAAAAGAGTGACAAAACAGTTTCTGCTGTCCCTTAATTAGTGTAAATATTACACCTCCCTGGATGGGAAAAACTGCAGAGTTAGGAAAACTACCTTCTATATATAGAGAGCTATTCTGGAAGGCACTTTGGATTTCAGAGTCAGAAGGGAGGGAGAAGAGGCTTCTGGGATGAAGACTCACTACTGCACAGCCCCTTTCTTCTCCTGGGCTACCAAAAGGCAGACTCAGTAATACCCTTGAGCGGAGATAAAGAATTGGAGGGCTCTTTTGTGCTACAGAACAAGGTCCACAGTACAGTTTCATGCTCCCATTTCTCAACAGCATCTGTGTTTGTGGTGCACTCTGGAATTCATTCAGTAGTAATGGCTACTTTCAGACTCAGGACTCTCCAGGCTTTCCATATTTGGTTGTGGGTACCATTACAAATGCATTAGGGCACCTGGCTCCAAGGACCTATAACTACAAGGAAGAACTCACACTAACGTGAGGATTCTAAGCAGAAATAAGCAAGTGGCTGCGCCAAGAAGAGTGGAGCGGACTAGGAAGTGGGACTAGGTGTTGCCACTGCCTCCTGCCTCAGGTTTTCCTACTCTGCTGTCTGCAGTCTGTGAATTACTGTCGTCATATGGGTGGCTTTTTCTTTTCTGTTTCTCTCTCTCTTTCTTTCTCTTAAACAAACAAACAAAGCAAAGCCGTGACAGCCAGGTGGTGACTGTGCGTGCCTTTAATTCCAGCACTTGGGAGGAAGAGGCAGGCGGATCTCTGGGAGTTCAAGACTGGGTTGGTCTACAGAGTGAATTCCAGGAGAGTGAATTCTGAATGCTCTAAGAAGAATCATTTTTATTTGGGTTGTTCTTTAGACTTCTCTGGAGTCTGTGATGCACTTCCCCCAGGGAGTGTCCATTTTCAAGTCAGGACTTTATTCTACCATCATTAGCCTTCCTGATAATAAACTTTATGATTTAAAAACAAACAAAAAATCTTATTGGCTTACTGGCAGATACTTTGAGTTTATCAATACACAAGTGACAAGGACCACAAGAACACACATAGAAAGAATGAAAAATGGTCTGGCCAGCCACCATTAGCTGGATGAGGAAGACACCCAACTCTAATCCGGAGTAAACTGTACAGCACTCTAGGTGAAAAGTGTCAGCACAGAAGAAAGTCAGAACAATTGGGATCGTTCCCACATCACACCCGTTGTTTGAGTTCCAAAGAGCAGATAAAGATGACTGGCTTTTGCCTGAAATCAATGAGATGAGGCACAAGGCACTAGTTTAGTTTGATTGAGAAAGGGATAAGCCCAGGTCAAAGGTCCTCAGTTTGGCAAGCACTGGCTCGTTTGGGAGACTAATGATAGCTTTTTAACTAATTAATCTACTTATTATTATTTGGAGGGGGTTCAAGATAGGGTTTCTCTGTAGCTTTGGAGCAAGTCCTGTAACTTCCTCTGTAGATCAGACTTGGCCTCAAACTCAAAGATTCACCCGCTGGGATTAAAGGCGTGTACCACCACCGCCCAGCTAATACTTTTTTTTTTTTTTGAGATAGGGTTTCTCTATGTATCCCTGGACCGTCCTGGAACTCACTCTGTAGCCCAGGTTGGCTTTGAACTCGTATCTTTTAGTTTTTAAAACTTTATTTTTATACTATTCTTATCGTATTGCTTAGGATGTTCTCTAACTCATGGGCGTGAGTGGCCCTCCATTCTCAGCCTTCTGAGAAGTAGGACTACAGGCACGGTCACTATGCTTGGCTGGAACAATGGGCTCTTGGGGCATAGATCACAAATGTGCTCTTATTAAGAATATAGCCAGGGGGCTGGAGAGATGGCTCAGAGGTTAAGAGCATTGCCTGCTCTTCCGAAGGTCCTGAGTTCAATTCCCAGCAACCACATGGTGGCTTACAACCATCTGTAATGAGGTCCGGTGCCCTCTTCTGGCCTGCAGGCATAGACACAGACAGAATATTGTATACATAATAAATAAATAAATAAATATTAAAAAAAAAAAGAATATAGCCAGCCAGGCGGTGGTGGTGCACGCCTTTAATCCCAGGGAGGCAGAGGCAGGTGGATCTCTGTGAGTTCGAGACCAGCCTGGTCTACAGAACTAGTTCCAGGATAGGCTCCAAAGCCACGGAGAAACCCTGTCTCGAAAAATCTAAAAAAAAAAAAAAAAAAAAGAATATAGCCAACAACATGAAGACTACTAGACAAGAGGCGACTTCCAGCACTGCTAATAAATAGCAGAGAATGTGATTTGATATTATTATATTGCCCATCTATCTGTCTGCATACCCAGAGCATACTTAGAATTCTCTCTAAGTTTGTCATCCTGAAAAGGGGAGGCTAGGGAGGAGATGGGACCCAGACGGAGAGTGACAGCACCTGTACTTGAGGAGAATGTCATGGCTAGAGAGTCTACCTTCCTCTCTGAGTAGATGAGGAAGGGAAAAGGTAAAGAAACAGAGGCAGGGTCCTAGCCATAAAGGGAGCTTTTTCTTAATTCTCTGCATGGTCCACTGCATCCTGAATACACAGGTGTAAGATATCCTTTATCCTGCAGTATTCTGGCTAAAGCCAACCCTACGTCCACTCAGGTTAGTGGAGGAAAGCCCCCCAGCCTCAGAGAAAAGAGCCTGTGGTTGTAGTATGTAATTTGGGAAACTGCTTCTCAGAAGTGCTAATAGCTCTGGACTTTCTACATCTCTGTCCCCAAGAGAACAGAATACTCTCCTATTGCAAAGAGGACACGGCACTGTGTCTTCCTTAGATTCCCCGACTAGCAGGGTATCCAGCTCTTACGGGCTGACCAAGAAAACAAACAGTGCTATACCTCCCCTTCCCCCAGACAGAGTCTCACTGCATAGCTCTGGCTGTCCTTGAACTCAGTGGTCTGCCTGCCTCTGCTTCCCCAGTGCTGAGATTAAAGAAGAGTGCCACTATGCCCAGCTGAAAGTTTTCTTTCAGGCACTTAATGCCAAAAAGAAACTTTCTGTCTAAATAGGGCTGGTTGTCTTTTGACCCAGACTTCTGAGGCATAGACCTGGGAAGCCCAGATCTTGGCCGCTGTCTCCCAAAGGCTGTTGAAGTGGATCCAAAGAGCTGGGCTGGGGCTGTAAGCCTTTGTCACCATAATTCTATGAACTTTATCCCTTTTGTTTATCTGGGATAGTCACCAATATCCAGGAGGTCAAAGAGCTGGGAAAGAAGGGTGGGGTGGTGGCAGGTTACTGGCTAAATCCAGATGTTCTTGCTAAGGCCACACACATAACAAGAAACAGGACCCACAGGACCAACCAGAAAAGTGCCTTCATTACAGCCTGCTGTATAGCCTGGGACAGACAGTGACGTGGTGGAGCCTTTATGGGTGTCAGTGCATTCCATCCACATGCAAATCTCTGCCCGCAAGACAGTAAAGACAGGAAGAAATGCCTCACAGCAAATTCTAAAGTAGTCCTCAGCAAGTCTCATTTATCAAAACAGCTAATTTTTGAAAAGCAGTCCAATTAGGTGGCCATTATAGAGGCATTCTCCTTCAGGGAACTCAAGGACCCTATTAGTGAGGGGAATCAGAGGACTCTCGATTTTCCCAGGCGTCAACTGCCGAGCTATGAAGAAAATCTAAAACCAAGCTCAACCTCTTCCTAAAGGGTTTGTTGCCAGCTATATCAGGAAGGTTTAAGTGGAAAGAGGGAATAAATTCAATGAAATATTTATGATCTCTTACCATTAGCATCTTGGACTCCAGTAAGTGCTCCAACGGCTGCTGCGGTTTCCCCAGACAGGACTATCTGTCCCCCGCCTTGTAAGGTGGCTTCAGCCAGTGTGGCGACAGCATGGGCGGCAGCTTCACTGTGGGCACAGGGACAGGACAGAGGGGACAAATGGAAGATGAGTGTAGGCACAACACTGTCCTTCCTAGGCTCTCTGGGTACCAGGCACCAGGGCTAAATGGGTAAGAGCCAAGAGTAATTTTCACTATCAGATGGCTAGAGAAGTCTCAAGTCTTACATCTTTCTGAAGCTAATGTGAAATTTTCTTTAAAACGAGGTCACGAGTATTTGAGGACAGAGGTGTTCATTGTCAGTCTTTCCCTATCATCATCAACTGAACCCAAAGTGGAAGCCCCGTTCACTGTCACACAAAACCATCTCAGTTGTCAATCACAAGGTACCATAAGAGACTCTAACTCAAAGATGGATGATAATCTGAGGAGTCCGCAAGCTGGACGTGCTCTCCGATCAACATAGTTTACACACTCCCTTTTCAAATACGAAGCCATGGCTGACCACTAATGTGAATAATCCAGCTCTTCCTTTTGTTTCATTAAAAATGAAGTCTTAGTTTAAAACATTACTGTAAACCAAAGTTCTGGCCTCTCAAGTTCAAGGAAATCAACAATTCCCTTTCCTACAAAGCCAACACTGCATAGAGCAGAGAAATCTGTTTAAAGGGAACACACGGTTCTAGCAGTTTGGGTCCCGTTTTTCCCCCCATCTTTGCTATCTGCTTTTACTATATATAAGCATTCATTTTTTATGACTCTGTAATGCCATACACTATTTTTTTGTTTATTTTTTTTCGAGACAGGGTTTCTCTGTAGCTTTGGAGCCTGTCCAGGAACTAGCTCTGTAGACCAGGCTGACCTCGAATTTACAGAGATCCTCCTGTCTTTGCCTCCTGAGTGCTGGGATTAAAGGTGTGCGCCACCACCGCCAGGCCTAGACTATTTTTTTTTTTACTATGCCAGTAAGGAAGAAATTTCCTGAAGATGGAATTTTAAGACTAAAATTTGTCATCCGAATTTCAATTATTTTAAAAACAAAATAAAAGAGCTTAGAAATCTCAGAATCTTGCCTATGAAGATGGAGGTCATCAGCTGACAACTGAGGTCCCTGAGGGAGCATGAGGAGATAAGGCAGTTTGCTCTGCAAGCTCAAGGATCTGATTTGAACTGACCACCCATAAGAAAAAAGCTGGCATGACTGTGTGTGTCCCGTCACCCAGTGCTGTTGGGGCAGACAGCAGGATTAGAGGGGTTTGCTGCCTGCCAGCTTGGCTCTAATTCAGTGACAGACCAGGACACCCACCACTCTCCTCTAGCCTCCATGTGCACACAGGTACAAGTAACTGCGGCCCCGAAGAAACACCACACACAAACTAAAAACATTTTTTTAAGTAAGCAAACACTGGCCAGCAAGATGGCTCAATAGGTGAAAGCATTTGTCACCCAAGTTTGATCCCCAGAACCCACAAGGTGAAAGCAGAGAATCAACTCCTACAAACCATCCTCTCACCTCCATATGTGTACTGTGGCATAAGCAAATGTGCACATACATACGGAATAAGCAAATATTCAAAAATGCCTGAGTGAGCACACAGTAGAGAAGCTAGTGCCATTTACTTTAGCAGAGGTGGGCTAAGGCCTGGTTCCATCTTCACATAAGGTAACAGATGCAGTTCTGCAGCCATTTTCTTGCAATCCCAGGCTCTAGTGGGGACTGGTGAGGGAAGAGGACTGGCTGGTATAGACGTGTCACTGACTGGGGCAAAGCAATGCACACCCTATTAAATACAGTTCTTTTATTGAAGAAGCTCAACAGGTAAGGCAATGGGCACAGTAACTCCTCAGGGAAGAGAGACAGACCCAAAAGACAGAAAACCTCAGAAGTGACAGCTGTAGCAGGTGCCTTTTAGAAGATGAGAAAAGAGTTGTTTATTCTTGAGAACAAAGGTAAAGTCTATGTTTTATATAGAAAAATTACAAATCTTATAAATCCACAGACAGAATAAAGGGTCTGTACAACACAGACACTGGTAGAAACATTACATCCAGACAGCTGTAAGCAGATCCTGCTTTTAATTTCTCATTTGGGAGGATGAGGAAGGAGGAATGCCACAAGTTTGAAGCTAGCCAGGGCTATCTTGCAAGATCTTGTTCTGGGGTAGTTGGAGTAGGGGAAGCCCTGTCTGGGACCTCTAATCCTAGTTATTCAACAGGCTGAGCAGGAATAGCCAAACTGTAGACTATAGAGTAAGTTCAAGGCCAGCCCTGGAAACTTTGTGACACGTACCAAAAATTCATTAAAACTTAAAGTACTGAGGAGATTATGTATGTATGTATGTATGTATGTATCCATCTACCTACCCATTTATCCATTTATCCATCTATCTATCTATCTCTACGAAATAGATAGATATACTATAGATATAACCAGGTGGTGATGGCACACACCTTTAATACCAGCAGAGGCAGAGGCAGGCGGATCTCTGTGAGTTCGAGGCCAGCCTGGTCTCTAAGAACTAGTTCCAGGACAGCTAGGGCTGTTACAAAGAGAAACCCTGTTTCGAAGAACCAAAAACAAACAAATTAACAGGTTAAGCGCTCAGTGGGAGAACATGTGCCCAACATGTGTGAAGTCCTAGGTTCAGTTCTCTATTGAGGAGAAATCTTTAACTTGGGCTGGGAGAAGGCCTGGTGGTTAAGACTACTGCTGCTCTTGCAGAGCACTCAGGTTTGATCCCCAGCACACACACAGTGGCTCACAACCACCTGTAAATCCAGTTCCAGGGGATCTGAGGCTCTCTTCTGACTTCTAATAGAACTAGCATGCATGTGGCATACATACATATATGCAGGCAGAATACTTATACACAGAAAATAAATAAACCTAATTTTTTTGATTACTTAAAAATCGGGATTAAATAATGTCCCTAAGCTACCACTTTGTAAATTTTAGTCAAAACCCATTTTCAAAGCAGAACTCTAAAAGACTGATTCCAATCAGTGTGTGTGTGTGTGTTGGCCAGAGGCCCACCTTGTTTTCTGAGGCAGGGTCTCTCATTGGCCTGGTGTTCACCCATGAGGCTAGGCTGGCTGGTTACCAAGTCCCAGGAATCTGCTGTCTCTACTTCCTCAGTGCTGAATCACAAAAGCAAGACACCATACTCTGTAGCCGGGGGATGAGGGTCAAACTCAGGTCTGTGGGTCTGCTACACACCTCCAAACACTTTACTAAGTTATCGCCAAGACCCCTCATTAGTCCCCCACTCCCATCCCACCTGAGACAGGGTTCTCTCTGTGTAGCTTTGGTTGGTGTCTGTCCTCCTGGATTAAAGGCGTGCACCACCATTACTTGGCCCCCAACCTTTTACTTGTAGATGTCCAATTTTAATCTAAAGGAAAGCGCATAGTCCTTACCTATTATAGATAAGGACCATCTAATTCACATTCTCCATCCTATCTTATTGGACCAATGTCAATCTATATACTAGAGCAACATTATATTTTAATAATATCTCTAATAATATTTTCAGTTTGGAGAGTATAACAATATACTGAAATGTCACAATACTCCCCTAAGTACGTATATTTGTGTATCAGTTAAAAATAAAAAGAGAATGAACTTTATTTCAAAATGGTTTACTTCTGCCAGGCGGTGGTGGCGCACGCCTTTAATCCCAGCACTTGGGAGGCAGAGGCAGGCAGATCTCTGTGAGTTCGAGACCAGCCTGGTCTACAAGAGCTAGTTCCAGGACAGGCTCCAAAACCACAGAGAAACCCTGTCTCGAAAAACCAAAAAAAAAAAAAAAAAAAAAAAGGTTTACTTCTTTTCCTTCCTCCTTCCTGCCCCTTGTTTTGTTTGCAGCTGTTTGTTTGAGATAGGGCTTTGCTAAGTAACCCTGGCATGTGCTTATTTATAAAATACCATGCTATTTTACTTCTTTTTAAAAGCAGTTTCCAGGGGCTGGAGAGATGGCTCAGTGGTTAAGAGCATTGCCTGCTCTTCCAAAGGTCCTGAGTTCAATTCCCAGCAACCACATGGTGGCTCACAACCATCTGTAAAGAGGTCTGGCGCCCTCTTCTGGCCTTCAGGCATACAGACAGAATATTGTATAATAAATAAATAAATATTTAAAAGCAGTTTCCACAGCTAAAGAAGGGCACATTCTAAGTTTCCCGAAAAGAAACGACCCAAGCAGCAGCTTCCTCACAATGCTGAGTGGAAGCACCGTGCTCAGCAGAACACAAAAACCACACTGACAACACAGGGTAAACACAGGCCCAGCCTACTAATCCCCACCATGTATCTCTATGCAGGGCTGCGCTGGAGACTTGAGAAGTATCTTTGCGGGGGCCTGGTTAAGAGGGACTGTAAGTACAGAAGAGCCGACCAATTACGCAAAGCGTCAACCTCATCAGGTGTCATGACATCACTTCCTTTCCCTGCTTGTCTAAGCTGAAAAGCTATTTTTTTTGTTTGGTGTATGTGTGCACGTGCATGTGTGATGCTGTGTTCTGTATTTGTTAACCATGATTCCCTTCCCATCTCCTTCCTAAAAGTGCTGGTTTATTCTTTATTTGAATTATTAAAATGAACACCACTTCCCATTTTTAATACTGGTAACTTTTCCACAGCCCTTTGGGTTGTTATGATGCTAGGGTGGGCTAAGGCTGTGCATCCTTGGGTCCTGTTCTGACTTGCAGTAAAAATTCTTTTAGCAGCATAGTTGAAAAACAGGTCTGTCTACAGTTGTCCTGACCCCGTCCCCTCTAGTGAATGAAGGAACCTTGTGCCTCCTTAGGCCCCCACTGCCTTTTCCCACAGCTGGCTTCTCCTTTCTCACCCCGCACTCACATCTGCTGTTTACAGTGCAGCAGAGGTGCAGGTGCTTATTAGAGAATCATGCTTCTTCCATCTGCACCTGAAACAGAGACTGGCGACAGATTATGAAATCACTTTGTTACCATAGGAACAAAGACCAGTGTTCTCTGTGTATTTTTTTTCAAGAGGACTTCCAACAATAAATTTTGTGGGGAAAAAGGATTTCATTGCATCTCATGCAATGAGTAAGGGGTTGTCTTGGACCCACCTAACCTGACAAAGCCATTCACTCGTGGGGTACAACTTGCTTTGCTGCCAGGCTCGGCTTCTGCCAGAGGCTGAACATATCACCCCAAGACTCACTGAGCACTGGACTATCTGATTGCAGACAGATTTCAACATCCCTCTGCTCCTCCTTCAAGCCACAAGGAACCACACTCTCCTTTCTGGAGTTAACACTGTAGCCACCTCGGCTGCACCTGAGGTGCAGCTAACAAGTCCTCAGGGGACACCATTATACTCATGGCTTTTAGAAATAAGCGTGTCCTCACACAAAGGGAGCCAGAATGTGCTTCAGATTTTCCACTATGTGCAGGCTTCCCAGGACACCACAAGTCACCGCAAGTCAAGGTGTTGACTAGAAGGCTAAGGTCTTGCTGGTCTTTGGTGATGGTTTGTTAGAAACAAAGGAACAGTAAGGGGACACCAGATTGAAGGAGGGGCTCTCCCTCTGAGGAGCCCTTTGGGAAATTTATCTGAGTACCTGAAAGGAAGGGGTGGAAGAGGGCCAAAGTGTACAGAAGCTATGAGTTCCATGATTCTGAACAGTATACGAATCACTGGGCTGGGAAGTTTCAGCTCCAGGTCACATGGAAATTCATTTGGTAAGTGTGAGAGGCAGAGAGTGAGCGCAAGCCTGTGTCTCAGTATTACGAGTCTGACCAACTACACCCAAGTCATAGCTTCCTTCAAATGCGTGGTTTCCAGGCCTTTAACAAAGCACCCCTGGATTCTAGGTTGCCTCATCCTGACTGCTTTTATAATCACACTCCATGATCACAATTCTGACTAGACAAGTCTTAAAGCACAGCTTGAACCCAGGCCTCGCACACACCAGACTCTCCATTGATCTAAGCCCTTGAAGTGTAATTTAATAAGATGAGCAAGGCGGCTCATACCTATAATCTCAGGAGGCTAAGGCTAAGGGATCACCTGTGTTTGAGACCAGCCTGGCCTATAGTGAGACCCTCTGGAAAGAAAGAGAAGGGGCCAGGCGGTCGTGGCACACGCCTTTAATCTCAGCATTTAGGAGGCAGAGGCAGGCGGATCTCTCTAAGTTCCAGGCCAGCCTGGTCTACACAGTGAGTTCCAGGACAGCTACTGTTACACAAAGAAACCGTATCTCTAAAAATCAAAATCAAGACAACTAAAACAAATAAAAAACAAAGAAGGAATTAAGGGTAGAAACTAAGTTTCTCAGGGTCAAAAAGATAACAAATGATTTAGCTGCGATTCAATCCAGAAATCTATGGGACTTTGGAATCTTCTTCTCAAACAACACACTGTACAGCGCTATACACACTGCACACAGACACATCATTGCTCTCCAGTCATCTGTATCTACCAAGCTAATTTAACAACAAAAATAGGTCTCTCCAAATCTACACTTCAGTTGATTTTTGTATGTCAGGGAAGGTGACCCCTCTCTCTGGATCTCTACAATGTCCAGTCAGAGTTCCACAATTTAATAGTAAAGGCCGGGTGGTGGTGGCGCACTTGGGAGGCAGAGGCAGGCGGATCTCTGTGAGTTCGAGGCCAGCCTGGTCTACAAGAGCTAGTTCCAGGACAGGCTCCAAAACCACAGAGAAACCCTGTCTCGAAAAAACCAAAAAAAAAAAAAAAAAAAGTGAAGAACATTCTAGTATCACCTGATAGGTGGTTTGCTGAAATTAGAGCCTCTCCTCATGGCCTCTCCCAGGAAGAGTGCTGGCTTGTACGGAGGTCAAGGACTACGTGAGAATAAGAGCCACACAGATGACTAGCAGCAGCTCTTATCATATGCCAGGCACTGATCCAAAGATCTCACCCAAAGTGACTTTAGTTGTCTTAACACTTCCTTAAGGCAGGTATTGGTATTACTCCCAGTCTACAAAAAAAGACACCTTGGGCAATGAGAGTTGAAAAAACTGTCTAGGGTCAGCCGGCTAGCAAGTGACAGGGCAGTCCCTGTTCTTAATGATTAATTAAAGTCTGGGTCTCTGAAAATAAAATTGTGTCAACAATGAAGAATAATATGGGCATGATCTTTCCTGTCAATAACCAGCAGGAAGTGGCCAGAAGGAAACTTGTAATTCTGTTTTGGAAAAGGCATTGCTCTTCCTAACTAGCCCTAAAGAGAAAGGGTTCAATTTTCCTTGGCGAGGGCTGATTAGGAACCAAAGTGCAGTAACTCAGTATTAGAATGTTAGTCTAGCTTGCACAGGGGCCTGGGAGCTCTACTCCCAGGACTGTAGAAAACAAAACAACCCAGCCTCCAGTGTTTTATGACCTTGAAGATATCCCCAACTGTCACCTCTGACTGAGAAAGAATGAGTCTCTCTTAGGACAGACCTGCAATCCCATTCATTCCCCACCCCTGCCTCCACCTGTTGAGTGCCATGGTGACAGTAGCTCCCTGTTGCATTTCCTGAGAAGCTGCCACTGCGGCCTCTGCCAGTGATGCCACCGCCTGAGTGGCCTCTGATGCTTGTGTTGTCTGGATGGTCATTTCACCTCCCTGTAACGTGGCCCAATTTTGTTCCACCTGAAGCAGAAAGGACAAGGACAGTTAAAAGTCAAAACATGGAACACTATATTTTCAGCCAAATGAATGTACACATGACCTATAATATATGGGGAGAGTTTCAGTAAGCTATAGTTTGTGTAAAAAAGGGGACCGTTAGAATTTACATTTGAATTTGTGTCTGTATCAAGAAGTTCTGGAAACACACAAGAGAAATCACTGAAAATACTTTGAGTCAAGTATGGCCACATCCACCTAAATCCCAGCATTCGGGAGGCTCCCAAGTCCCAGGTCAGCCTGGGCTACATAACAAGACCTTATCAAGAAAGGAAAAGAAGGAGGCCAGGGGAAAGAAACAGAGAAAACTGTTGGGTTTTGATGGGAAGCAGAAGGTAGACTTGGCACTACGTACTTATAAGCAGTGCTTCCCTTGGCCATGTTTGCTTGAGTGCCTGCTATGTTACTCTTCCCTCCTGCATGTAACTGTATGTGCCTGCAGGCTACCATGTTCCAAAGAGAGCTCTAAGCCCAAAAGGTAAAGCTATCCAGAAGATGTCCTATTGCTGAGAGAAACTCACTGTGCTGAAGCCTTTCAAATGGTAGCTCCTCTTACATCTAGCTAGAGCAAGCCACTGTAGCCATTTCACACTTTCAAAACTCAGGGCATTTCCATGCTTGCTGCCTTGGCTAGGACATACCCCTATCCCTGTAGCCTTTGCTTTTGCTTGCTTCCCCTAGTCTGAGCTCAGGTCTATTATTCCTCTGGAGAGCACTCAAGCAAATCCACGACACTACACGTGGGGCGCCATCTCTCCCCCCTGCTGCTGTTCACTGAATGGCTGACCATGGTTTCCCCACCACCTCTTACTGTCCTGTCTCTAGACTGCAAAGCATGGCATTTACTGAGGGTGAGGGTGGAGAACACACTCCTTTATTTTCCTACTTGTTATTGAGCCTACCCATATTTCAGCTGAACTGACAGTCTCTAAGAACCTACCAAAATATGTCATATAATTTCAAACTCATCACATGTGCTGGTGTCCCACTTTGAAATTCAGATCTTTAATGTCTTTGTACTTGGATGGCTTTTTCCTTTGCAGCAGAATTACATATGCCATCATCATCAGAAATTATTTGATTTTTCTAATGTCTAATGTAATCAACACGACCAATAGCAACTGGTGGTCCCATTGTGCAAGATAACTGTTTCTTAATTGCATCTTCAAATAAACTACATATTTTTAAAAGCAACATAGTTCACTTTACAATTTAATGTGGAATTGTCCATGTAATTTGTACAGTGTCCCTAAATAACTTTAAACTGCTTAAGGTTAGAGATTTTTTTCTTTGCAACTACTTACTTAGCTGTGGTCAGCAAGGGAACCGTGAAATGGCTTTTCTTGTAAAAATACTGAAAGGATAATCCCTTTTATTGTGTATACAATATATAAAATACATTACTAATGTCAAATTCTAAGTTTGTATCAGGTCAATTTAGGTTGTAGTGATCCACCAATTTTAATTGTTACAATTAACATAGCATAAAATACTTCTCCAAACTTTCATAGTCTGCTATTACATGGGTTCAAATAATACATGCTGCTCCTTTGCCTTCTGGGCCCTTACTTCTCCTTACTTATTCATGCACTACTTCAATAGGGGCATACCGAAACCTTTTTCTTACCTCTCCATCAGCTACAGCAGAATAATTCACTTGGGCAACAGTGACTGTGGTCGGCAGTTCTGAAGCATCGGCCAATGTAGCTACTGTTGCCCCCGTACCCACCTAAGAAACATGGAAAGTTAAGTGTCTGTAGATGGGCCCTCTGCCTGGCCCCTACAAAGAAGCTCCCTGAATTCAGCACAACATGCCTGGGATATGAAGAGATTACTAAAATCATCTCTCAGGGACTAGCACGAGTTTAGTATTAGAAGAGTGAGTGCATCTTATTCCAGCACTCGGTGCCAACCAACATTCTCCTCTAACCCAACGTGAACTTCAGAGATTCATCTGTCAATAAATGGCGTTTCACCTCAGAAAAGGTGTTTTCCTGCTGTGCGTGTTCTCAAGTACCCTTATCTATTTTTCCTTCCCTTTCTCCCTCCCTAAATCCTCCTCTTTAATTCTCGCTACAGGCGATAAGCAGGCATTCTACCACTAAAGTGGACCCTAACCCAAGAAACCATTTTCAAATGCTTTGTTTGGAAATGTCCCAGAAGCTATTGATAGCTCTGAATTAAACAAAATGCAAGTAATGTAAAATACTATTTCAAGACTGGAGATAAGATGTAGCCATGTGGTAGAGCACTTTCCTAGTGTGGGTGACGCCTTGGTCGTGTTCCAAGCATCACAAGAAAATGAAATAAAAAAATAAATAAACAGAGCACCATTTAGAAGTTATCTCTAGGTAAGAAGACTAGAGCAGCTGTATGATACCTAGAAAAGAGTGTCTGCATAAGAAACTTCTCCAGTCTGAGGCGAGATGCCATTTGCCCACCTCCCCCAAGCCCGGGCTTACCTGGATGAGTGACACGGTGCCATCAGGGTTACTGAAGGTTTGTACTACGGTCTGGGATGGTACAAGGTGAGCTATACTATGTGTGGTAGTGGCCTGTGTTTGTGTTTGCTGATCTTCAAAAGCATATAAAAGATCTTCCCGTCCATGTTGCTTATAACAATTTTTAACTATGGTCCGTAATGCCTGGGTCCATGAAACCTGTCACCAAAAGACCAGGAAAGCACAATAAGTCACAAAGAATTCTGGTATTTAGGCCACTACAAAATAATCATCTGTGTATTTATTGAACCTTTTGTAGAGTTCATCACAGGATTTCTCACAGAATTATTATGGAACAAAAAACTGATTTTTTTTTTTTTTTTAGGGCTTTCATTCCTAACCAAGGTCTGGTTTAGTATTGGTTTTATGTTTTAAGTCCTAGTCCAAACTCTCAAATTTCTCATAAGAGATCTCACTCTGATCAAGAATTATATATTAAGTCTCTTAATAAACTTCCAGATAAAGTAAAAAACCAAATGTAAAGAAAAAGGAAGAAGGTTATCTAGATCAGCCTTTCTTCTCCAAGTGCTGGGTAACTAGTACACACTTGGCAGACTTCCCTACACTGATTTCAGAAGTGACAGAAGTTGAGGCAACTGATTCAGAATGGCAAAGCAACGGGCAGCTCAGAGGAACTTACCCTCTGCTTTTGCTCTTCTGTGCGGACATCACTGCGGACATTGGCCCATGGGATGTCTTCTGGCCACCAGATAGGTTTGCAGCTTTCTTTCCCCCAGCCTGGTTTTCCCCGACCTGTGGAATACTTGAGCATCTCTGGGATAAATGCCCGGAGCTGAGCCTGAAAGAGAAGAGCATGATTATCACAATGAAGTCATGACAGACACCTGGGACGTGCTTGTGGCCCCCACCAAAATCTAAGATCATGAAACAGGTAGTTTTCCTGAAAGTGCCAGAAAATCCCAAGTGTGACTGCTGACAGCCCATTGCTTCCTCCAGGTTACTTCTGCTTCATGGATGACTGGGGAGGATACATCTGTTGATTAAGGAGACCTTAAAAGCTGCCATTTGTAGACTTGTTCTTCAAAGGGCAACAATGTCTCTCTCCAAACTTGACTTCTGCTGCAGGAGACACTACTGGTACTAGGGCCTATTTTTCTTATGAGCTAACTAACAGTTCATAGCACGGAGTGCAGCACTGTTCTGGAGGTGGCAGTCAAGTCATAGCAGAAGAAGAAAATGAGCAACAGGTTAACCATCAGTATCTGTACATGAGAGGACTCTGGAGCAGGAACGCCTCAGAGGAAAATGAAAAACAGTACGAACACTAAAAGGTGGGTTACATCCACAAAGAGGTGGATGCCTATAAAATAAAGGAAAATAAATTGCTTTTCAGTTAATAAGGTGAAAATAACCCAAGAATTCTTCTATCAAGTTCCTTGGAAGTCAGGCCTGTGTGCACAAGTCTCAAAGTTAGATGTATTGACACTTGTGTACTTTAAATACATGGACTTCATTCAGCTTGAATCTGCAGAGCTAACTGAGATCAAATCAGGTTTAAACCACAGTCAGCTGACATACACTTCCTGGCATAGTAACTAGTGCACATGCTCAGGAAAGTTTGTGCTATGAATATTCTTCAGCAAGGGTGAAGATTTGGGGCTAGAAAAGCACTTAAGATTTTAGACACTGCAGAGAGCAGTATCCTGCATATGCCAAGGACACATCTGTGCTGCCTTTGTACCATAAAACCAGAAGGAGAAGCCATTTTGAGCAAAGAGTCAGAATGAGTACGTCAAGACTATCATATGGAAGAATGTATCTTCTAGGTGTATCTATAATTCTTCATATAATATGGAATCCCATTCTACCAGAAGACAATACAAATTGCTATATAGTAGGGAACCATGAATCCAAATCATCTGTGCTTATGTAACCAAGACAGGTCTGGTTAATTCCTGTGCAGATAATGCCACTTCATCTCTTCCTAATTTCTTCCTACTCAGACAGTCTTCTGCCTACAAGCTCTGACTTAATACACTCCAGGTATATTTGACTCCGAAGCATCAAGTAGCAGACTAATAGAAATGTATCCACTTGCAAACCCATGCTATCAGCTGGCTCATGAGGTCACTCCTCCAGTTATTTTAAGAAAGTACATCTCAAAGTCATTTTCCCCTTTATCCTGGTTTCTTGGTGTCTTTCTCTAACCTCAGATACATGCAGCAGAAAAGGGATTATATACATTTTATAATTCTTCACATACAAAACAATAGCTATCTAAAATGCACAAATGAAATAAACACACTATAAACTTAAAAGTTCCCCTTTTAGTCCCATTAGTAGCCCCTCCACAGATACACAAAGGAAAGACTATCTTTTTATATTGTTGTTGCTGTTTGTTTGGTTTTTGGTTTTCAAGGCAGGGTTTCTGTGTAGCCCAAGCTCAAGGGATCACCTGCCTCTGCCTCCTAAGTACTGAGATTAAAAGTGTGTGCCACCACCACCCAGCTGAGACTACTTTTAAACTGTCCCAAATAAATGCTAAGACTTTTTAAAAGACTTAGAACCTCCCCCCTCCCAAAATAGGCAGTAACAACAATAATAACATTCTTTATATATCAGCCTGGTTTTGAACTTGAGATTCTCCTGCCTCAGCCTCCTCAGTGCTGGGACTAAAGGTGTGGATCATCATGCCTGACCTGAAAGGATTACAAAGGAAAATCAGCTATCAACTGTTTAGCATGGAAAGAGTTAAATAATGCCTTTCCAGACTTTAACTCTGTGTCTTCATTACCAGCTGGATTAATTACTGGTCCTAGAGAGTTTGGGAAAGCAAAGCTTCTCAATGTGCTTGTTAAGGAAGGTTCGTTTATAATCCACAGGGAGCCAATCAACAGGGTCAGTAAAGGCAAGGCCTTACTTCTCAGGCTGGGCTTTAATTGGGCTAGAACACGCTAGCTTGGTGTCTCATTCTGACGTAGGTCTCTTTGTGAGCCTATAGGACACTAGGTTGGCCAGTAAACTTACTCCAAGTAGAAAATACTACTCCTTCCAGGGCACAACTGGAGAGAAAAGGGTATCAAATTCATGTAAGCAGCAATTAAAAGTAAAGATTATAGGAGCTAGAGAAAGGGCTTACTGAAGAACACTGGCTGCTCTTCCAGAGGACCCAAGTTTGATTCCTAGAATCCACATGGTAGCTCATAAGTCTGCTAAGTGCAGTCCCAGGGGATCCGATGCCCTCTTCTGGTATTACAGGCACTGTATGCATGTGGCGCAGATACACATATGAAGGCAAAACACTCACACATATAAACATAGAGATTATGTGGAAGCTAAACTATGTATGGTGACCTATGTCTAATCCCAGAACTTGTGACAGGAAGGCATGAAATCAGTTCAAGGTCATCCTTAGCTACATAGTAAATTCAAGGACGGCCTAGGTTACATGACATCCAGCCACAAAAGAGCCAAACACATATACATCATAGGTGGTTTTAAAATAAGATTTTATAAAATGCTAAATAGTCTATTTGAAGGGCTGGGGACATGTCACTAAATGGTAGAACACTTCATTTGCATACTCAAGACATGAGTTTTGATTTAGCATTTGGATATATAACAAAAGCCTAAACTAGCTAAAATGAATCAATAGCTCTTACTATGTCAGAAATCTGTCATTTGTAAACTCGATTACTTATCTACTGTTCAGCAAATGTAGTATCCTCAACACATTCCAAAATGCCATTCGCCGCTCATTCCCTGTATCTTTAAACTCCAGAGATTTTTGAGGATCCTCATTGGTATTTAGGCTCAATTGTAAGGTAAGAACTCTGAAGTTAGTATGCCTCCCAACTCCATCTCTACTGTACTGGTCTGACAATATAAAGTCAGGGTTCCATATCTGTGAGTTAGGTATCTAAAGATTCAACCAATTATGAAACAAATACTCGGGGTTAAAAAAAAAGTCACCTATACTGAATATGTACCAACTGGTCTTTTCTGTCATTATTTCCTAGATAATACAGTGCTCTGAGAGAATGGTCTGTACCTTGTAAAGTTTTGCTACTTGTATTTTAATAAAACATGGATTGGCCAGTAGCCAGGCAGGAAGTATAGGCGGGGCAGTCAGGCAGGAAGTAGAGGCAGGCAAGGAGAACAGGAGACTCCTGGGAAGAGGAAAGGGTGAGTCTGCCACAGAGGAAGCAAGATGAGAATGCCTCATTGATAAAGGTACCAAGGCACATGACTAACACAGACAAGAGTTATGGGCTAATAAAAGTTATAAGAGTTAATAAGAAGCCGGGTGGTGGTGGCGCACGCCTGTAATCCCAGCACTTGGGAGGCAGAGGCAGGAGGATCTCTGTGAGTTCGAGGCCAGCCTGGTCTACAAAGGGAGTTCCAGGATAGGCTCCAAAGCTACAGAGAAACCCTGTCTCGAAAAAACCAAAAAAAAAAAAAAAAAAAAAAGAGTTAATAAGAAGCCTGAGCTAAAAGGCCAACCAGTTTATAATTAATGTAGGCCTCTGTGTGTTTTCTTTGGGACTGAATGGCTGCAGGACCAGGCAGGACAGAAACCACAGTCAACAATACAGTCTTAACAATTACTAATATGGCATTTATATTCTATTAGATGATATTATAGATAATGTAGAGATGACTTAAAGTATATGGAAAGATTCAGATAGATTTCATACAAACACTATGTACCATTTTCTGCAAGGGTATGTATAATGAGTCCTTTATGGACACTGAGGATAACTGTGTAACAAATTTAAAAAGAGAACAGCACATATTAAACTACAAAGAAAAGGAAGATTTCTATAGTTGTCAAGAAAATCGTGATGTGGTAGAAAAGGTAAACTGGAGACGGGAGGTTTTTTTTTTTTTTTTTTTAAGGGTTTCTCTGTATAGTCCTAGTTGTCCTGAAACTAGCTCTTGTAGACCAGGCTGGCCTCAACTCACAGAGATTCACCTGCCTCTGCCTCCCAAGTGCTGGGATTAAAAGCATGTGCCACCACCCAGTTCTACTGGAGACTTTTGTCTTCTGTGTGTGTATGATTCATGCTATGGCATTTGTGTAGAGGACAACGTATAACCTTGGATGATGGTCCCCACTTTCTACTACTTGAAAAAAGGTCTCTCTCATTCTTGCTCACCACTGTGCCCACCAGCCAAGTTGGTCTGTGAGCTCCTGGGATTCTCCAGTCTCTGCCTCCAATCTTTCTGTAAGAGGTGGAATTGCAGACATGTATTACCCATGCCTGACTTTATGTCATTCTGGGGATTTGATCAGGTCCCCACACTTGTGAGACAAGCCTTTTATCCAGAGACACACCTTCCCAACCAGATGTTGTTATTTTAATTTGAAATGAGGAATTCAAAGTTGACAGACCATTTATAACGAAATGTGTATTTCAAGGGCATTAGAGAACTAAAGCCCAATGATTTTCTTGCTCACTATCTGGATTATCTGCACTACCAACTTCTGATCAGAGATGATAAAGTGGCTAATCCTAAAGAGAAATACAGTTGCCAACACAAACACTGGCATCTTTGGAACACTAGCTTTTCTCTATCTCATTCTCTCCTCACTCAAAACACATCGCCAGAGGAAGCATGGGAAGAGCCAGTGTGAAAGTGTTGACTCAGAATGAGTGAAGTCATGGCCGGGCAAATAGAGACACTCATTCAAAGACTTGGTCAGAAAGTCAAACTTCTGCTTCCCATTCTCATAGCCCAGGAAACTCTTAAGTGCTGCCTTCAAATGCCACCTTTCTTCCTCTCACATTGGTCAGTCTCTGCTGGCTTGTGGTAGTTGTATTCGTTTTGTAAACC